ACAAGCGATACGAAACGGTGTCCGCGATTCCATGCGATCGAACGATTCCTGCCAGCATCTATAACGGCCGGTTATTAATTGCCCCCTCGTTAATTGCGTTACGTAGCTCGTGCCGCGAGCTGATTCCCGGATGGGACGCTCTGACAGCCGGGCGGCCATTTTTGAAGGGTGATTATTGGAGCGCCGTTCCGAAGACAGCTTCAGGATCCGATTTTCCAAGGTGGATTATGATAATTGATAGGGATTCTGTAACGTACGAGAGCCAACGTTCGATTAACGTCCATGTCCTCGGGATGTACGTCTGGTTTGAAGTCGGTGCCTTCAACAACTCGTGCACGTGTCTCCTTAATGTTCGACTAATTGATCTTTACGCCGCGCCGGTAGTTTATGGAAATTCCGACGATGATCATTCTGCGGAGACCTTCGGGCGAAGGTAGCTTCTTCGACGGAGTTCTTAAAGTAGCCACGGCGTGTTACGGTTTTCATTTCATGTTAGTTGATTCACTTGGTATGCTTCATAGAAGTAACGAATGCTGAAAGCTTATTCCTCTTCCATCTTCGACATAGCAGAACCAATTAATAGAAGATATCGCTAGACCTTCAAATTTATTCGACAGATCAGATTTACCAGATCCTCTCGAAATAATCAGACCCAAGCATTGATGTCTTCAATTAACCATTCACGTTCAATTACCTTAAGCTCGAACGACACCAACGCATAACAATAATGAATCCCGAGTGCCGGCCGGTGTCCCACGCGACAGCGAGTGCACGGCCGCGCGAGCAACGAAACAGAATCCGATAAAGGTTTCGTCCGCAGCCGACGCACCTTCAATAATTCCAGCGCCGGTGTAGCTCGCGCGCGCGGCAGGGGTAGCTGGGATTAACCGTTCGGCGGGGACTCGTATTTTCTATAATTCGCGGGAGTTCCTTGAACCTGTCCTTCCGAGGACTTCCCTCGGCCTCCTACGCCTTCCCCTCCGCCGGGCCGCCATCCCCTCCGCGACCCACCTCCTCCTCCCTTGCCGCCGCGATGGCCACGTTATACGGCGTTTTGCCGATCCTCATAAAGTTCACGAAGCCCGACAGTAAATCCGGTTTATGACAAGCCGACCGCCACCACCAGGCACTCTCGAAATTACGGCTGAGCGATCGAATTTTTCTACTCCCCGCTACCCCGAGCTGCCGCCAGCCTACCCCCTTCCTCCCAATTATAGTGTTTTGGTGGCGCGCTTGAGAGGAAGGACACTGGTCCTCGCCATCTTCGTGCGCGAACAGCTGGCCGCGGTGCGAGACTATCTGAATTCAATGTTTCTCGAGTTTCTGTCGATCTCGGAAGAGAAACGGATTGACTCGGGAATCTTTGGTTCGTTGGGATTGCGAATGATGGAACTGTGTTCTGATCGATGATGAGTTTCGAGAAATCTTTGATCGTAGAGGTCCACTGACTTGGAGTTTAGAATTTAGAGATTCAAATGTTTCTATAATCTATGCTCGTATATTTAGGAATTCTTCAAGAGCTTGTTTATTAGAGGAAGTAGCTTATTTTGATAGATTTGCCAATGAAGAACTGGAGGAATTAGTTCCTATCTCCACGAGTCTCGAAACCGGGGATCCATGAATATGTATACATTCAGGAACGAATGTAATCGTCAGAATATATTTACACACGGTTGACGGTAGAGTTTCGTGAGAGCGTCCGCGAGATTAATAAATCATCGTACTCGACGGTGTTACATAGTTGATTCCGCGAGGGATCGGAAGCGGCCAAGGAAGAAAGAAGTTTGTAGATTCGGCGTAACGCCGGGCAGATTTACAGTTTCCCCGGGCGTGGATGCGATTCCCCGGGCGCAGAAATGCACCGAGAGTGTTGGAAAACGCGCAGTAACTGTCTCGCGCGAGGAAACCTTTACAGGAGTAATGTATCCGCATACCGTTGAGAAAATCGTAAGTATCAACCAGGAAAGTATCTGGCCGCACGCTATCTCGGAGGCAGCGGTGATCGC